AGGTGGAGGTAGTACAGAGTCTCAAGACCCTGATCCTGATGTGCGGGGCCAGAGGAGGTAGTTTAGGGACCTAAGGCCTGATCCCAGCACATGGGGTTCAGTAGAGGCAGCCTGAGGATTGATCCCAGTGCATGGGGGTCAGCTGAGGTCATACAGAGCCCAATCCAGGTATGCTGGTCTGATCCTGGCATGCAGGTTCTGATCTGGCCTGAGGAGCGACTGACACTACTCAGTTGGCCCAGAAGGCCAAAAGGTTGAACACCAAAACTATCATGGATAGTTACAGACGACAAAAGACATTTCTGTATTCTATTGCTATGTAGGATCTAGGAGCTGAGATCGTGACCTAATTTAAGTAACAAATAATTGCTGGCTGGATTCTAAACCTGTACTAAGGTCACTTTCTTCTCTTTAAAAAAAAAAAAAATCTTTTCTGGTAAATTTTAATCTGTCTTAGAGGAAAAGGGTTGCTGCTGTGAATGTTCTTTTCAGAGGCAGAGAAAACAACCGAAGGACATAGGGTCCTAGCAGGAATCAGAGGACAAGCAAAGGACATCTTCCTGCAGATTGTGATCTGTTGCTTCCTATTCAAAAGGAAAATGTATTAAAACTTGAGTAGCATTATGGATCAGGCAAAATATCCTGTTGCATCTCATGTAGTCATGGAGACCCAGATCTATAAAAATATCTGGGTGTCTAATTTCTAAATCAATAGCAGCTAGGTAAGTATAGAGGAATTACAGGGCTAAGGGACTCAGTCAATTTGGGCCCCAGTACTCAATACAATGTAATGCAGTGCATTACCTGAAGGCTGCTCAACTTGCAATAAAATGGCTGACTAACTTGTTCCATGCACGCAGCTATCAGCAACGTGCATTAACAGTGGAAGTAGTTTGACTGGTTTTTGTTTTTCCCTTTTATTTTTGATCACAAGCCAGGGAATGGTGGCAAAGTAGTTATGGCATCCCATATCAGCTCCATAGGTATAAGTGTGAGCACCACTTTATTGGCTGCACCCATTAGGCCTAGGTATAAATGGGTACCTACATAGGTAGATTAAGGATTTTTAAAGGAGTGAGGGAACAGTGATCAGAGAAGCAAGGTTAGCTTACATCCCCTGCTCCCAGCCCTCTTTCACAGCCCCCTACCATGTCCTCAAAGTAGGTAAGAATTCCTTCCCTCCACTCCAACTCTGGGCACCCTTTCCCTTCCCCCTCTGTGCTCAGAGGTATGCTCCCTTTCCTCCCTTTTCATTCACCCCTCTACCCTCAATACTTATGCTTCTGGGCATGGAAAGACCCTCCTACCACCACTGCTGTCCTGACCATTCCTTTCCTGCTCCAGCCAGGGCTACTGGGGACTACTGCATGGGAAGCTGGGCTCAGCTAATGTTACGTCTCAGCTCTGTGTTCTTGGGCAACCCTGGCACAGGATGCAGTCTGTCTGACTCACAAAGGACTCACCCCCCACCCCTCCCTCCCCTCCTCTACCTAAATGAAACTGATTAAGATGCAGTGAGAGACGCACCTAAGACCCTCACCAGATAAGGGTGATAAGAGTGAAACAACTGCCCTAGGTCTCATTTACATCCGAGATGGAACCAGATGACCATTCATTTACATGAGAGATGGAAAACAGAAAGCCTGAAGCACTTTTCCCCCCCCAGACACACACACACAGCTCTAAGTTTAATAGGCATCTCGGGCCGTACATTCCCCGGTCCCACTATGGGAGGCCTATTTAAACTTGATTGACTAAAACTCGGTTGCCGGGTTAGGGAATGCTGAGGCAAGAGACCGAGTCAGAGGGGGTATGGGCAACATTTGAACAATGGTTAAGGGTTCATCACAGCATCCAGCCTGCTGGAGCCCTAATCCCAGGTGTTGTCATATCTTTCCCGAGACGACTGGTGGGAGTCCTCTCCACAAAAGGTTATGAGCACCCCAATAATTGCTTTAAGTCTGTTAAAAGACTATAGTAAGATCTGGAAAAGTCATGCTAAGCTGAGGCTTGTGCACAACAAGTAAAAATCCAAAATCCTGATGCTGCAAGCTATCTATTGTTCCTGAAGAAACCATGAGATATCCCATCAGTATATCTGCCACCCATAGGAATTTCAAGCTGGCTCCCAAGTATTTGGGTTACTCCCTAATCTTAAGTGTTTCCTGATTATCAATCAGTTTCCTGAGATGGTCCAAACCAGATAACCCCTTGTCAATAGAAAAGACAATGATTTACACTACTGAGGGTGCTTCGAAGCAGCTGAACTGAGGGTATAAAAATCTGTAAGTGTGTGTGCTTAAAGAGGAAGGAAAAGAAGTAGAAGCAGGAGGAAAGAAGGAGAAGAAGAAAACCCCTGTGCTGACACCATCCCCTGTCGTTCTTGGGATGCTGGAAGAACAGATCATCTCTCTCTTCAAGGATTGTGCTACGGACTGTGCCTGTCAGCTTTGCAGCCTGAGTACCGTGGACTAGGTGAGATCCCAGCGTTCTCTGTCTTCTTTCTAGGCATAAACTTCTGAACCTGAACTGTATCAGTTAAGCTTGAGCTAAGTTTCCCCAAATACTTAGTGAAACCAGGGTAGTATTGTCATTGTTGGTGTTTGTTTTTCTTTTGCATGTCTATTACTACTAGTACTATTATATATTTCATATGCTTAGCAATAAATAACTTTTATAGTCAAACTGGTAGTAATTGGGTATATTTTCCTTCTCTGCTTCTTTTTCCTCCCGTGCTCTGCAGCAACGCTTCTTTTACCTAAGCTAAAGATCCCTGTGAAGCCCAAATTATTGTGGGGTCTGCTCATCAAGAGGCCAAAGACTGGGACGTGCTGAGTTTGAAACACATAAGGGGATCAGCTTGTACAGGCTGATTGACCCAGTTTGACTCAGACGTGCCCTTATGAACTGAATGCTGGCCCATGAGGGTGTCAGCTGGACACCCAGCTGGATTCAGAGGGATTCTGTTTACCTGTGTGCTTGTGTCTGACTGCAGTTTATTGTTGCTCTGATGAACTGATTCTTGGCATATGAGGGCGTCAGCCTGTCCATGCTGATCAGCCCGGCCAGGTCAGGCGTGTCACGTTAATTTGTGTGTGTTTGTGTGTATAACTGATTTGGTGACTGGAGGAACCCAGCCCATTGAGATTGAGTCCTGCAAGATAGCTCCACTGGGGGTGAGGGCTTGCAGAAGGGAGAAATACAGCTCCGTATAGTAACACAAGCAGCACATTGACAGAATCACCAAGACCGTAGAAACTATCCCTAATAAATGAGCACACCCCAAAGTAATGGGCAAATTTGGTAACACTAAGGACAGCTGCATCAGGTGGGCTCCCCCTCCCTGCCCTGCTCCTGGGCTAGCAGGGAACACCTAGGGAGACCAGGCTGGGTGGGGGAACCCACACCCTGCTGCTGCTGTCCTCAGCTAAGCGTGGCTATCCATGCCTGGCTGGAGCAGGGCAGGAACAGCTCTGCAGGTGGGAAAGAGGAGAAATAGGAAGGGCAGGAGGGGAGGTGACATTGAGGGGGAAAAGAGGGGGTGCTGACAGCAGGGTAGGAGACAGATTCTTACCTCCTTTGGGAACGTAAAGTCTCAAGCTGCTACTCCTGCAGTGTGGTTGAAAAAGGGATGTGACCACAGCACCCACTCTGGATCTACTCCTGAGTACCTGGTCATTCAAACTGGGGAGTGAAATGTGGTCAGATGCAACGAATCACATTGCTTCTTGGTATGTCATGGGCTGCAGTAACTGTCATATCTTGACCACATAGGCCTGCCACTTCCATTTGGAATGACTTTTTGTGTTAACTTACGACTAAGGATATTGTTATCATAGGCTGTACTTGTCTATATATAATTTTGTTACCTGCTAAGAGAAAGAACTCAAAAAATCTAAATGCTTTTCCATCACTAATTAAATTGACTGCATTTTAATGTGCGGTTTTAAAACCAATTACTTCTTTCAAACCACTTCTTAGATCAGGACAGCATCATCAGCTCCAGATAATCATGCACAAAAATTTAAAATTGTATGCCACACAACAACTTGTGTAGTATGTTTTTAACCATGTTTACTTCTAGGACTGGCTATCTAAACTTTATGAAATACACTGTGTGGTTAGCAGGCCAGCAGAAGCTCCTAGTACAATTTGAGACTTAGAAAACCTTAGCAATTGTTCAGAATGGGCATTTTAAATTATAGCCTAGGAGGTGCTGAGTAGCTCTGACTTGTGACTTTGTGACAGAAGAGGAAGTCATTTTGAAATGAGACAGAAAAAGGTAACAAAACAGGAGCAGCAACAAAACATACACAACACTGACATTTGGAAGTGACAGAGCACACAACATAGAACTGAGCTAAACTTCTGCTGCCCAGCGTCCAGCTAAGGCCTAATCCGTACTCCTTTTCTGAAGTACAATCATTGTTTCTAGAAGCATGTTACAGGGATTTAGAGGATATGAGATGAGCCCACGGTTTGTGACTAGGAAGAAGACAGATAGAGGGAGGTGTTCCAGAGACCGGAATATTTTTTATTGTCACACACTTACCAAGGACTGTGTGAATCGAGGGTGGTGGTAGGTGTGTTTCATCCCAACTCTCTACCGTAGACAGATGAGTTGGTGTAAAAGGATGGGAAAAAAAAACAACAGTGTGCAAATATCCCTCTGACGGCATGCCTCCCAACCCTAGACCCAACCTGTTTGAGATATCTGGCCTACTGCACTGTACTGCACTAAGCACACTTATCTCTATCCCCCAAGCCAATTAACTTAAAGCCACAGGTAGCTATGTGTACTTAACAGAAAAGAGAAAGAACTTGACAATAACAAGAAATGACAAAAAATAATATTGCAATGTGTATATTCTTAAATGCAGGCATTGTCTGTGTCCTAGATATGAATTCTGGGAGTTACATATCCATGTCAGGATCCTCAGTAAGAAATTAACATTGAAAAGAAGCAGTAAAGATTCAAGAAGAGTAAAGTTCTTACTCACCCACTGGAGACATTTCTGGGACACTGGCAACATAGGGTCCATCCAGAAACTTTGGCTCATTATCATTAATGTCCTGCACTTTGATGATGAACTCTGATTCAGGCTCCAGTGGTTTCTTGGTATCTATATCCACAGCCTGAGCACGGAGTGTGTAGAAAGGCTTTTCTTCTCGATCAAGGCTCCTTATGGCATGTATATCCCCTGTGGTCTCATCAATAGTAAAAACTGTGCCAGCTCCATCTCCTGAGAGGGTGTATTTTACAGTGCCCACTCCCTTATCCAAGTCAGAATGAAGCTATGGAACAGAAAAAAGAAGAGTTTTGCTCTCTGATCATGGACTTGTTTACACCCTAAGCTCAAAGTCCAACTTAGTGTGCAACTTAGTATGAATTCAGTGCATTATACTTTGGTTCTAAGTAATACCGGAAGTCATCATTAGATGTGATAGTGAGAGTCAGACTGTCCCTTTCCACTTCCACTTCACCACCCTATTGGCTTCAATGTACAAACACCAAGTATTTCTCAATCTCTTTTTCTGTGCATGTTATTATACTCCTATTGTGGACTGGAAACTCAAAGGATAGAGAACGAGAGATTTGTCCACTCATAAAAATTAGCAGGATGTTGGGGAAATAACGCTATAGTTACAGACTCAAACTTTCTTGTACACATTTGTCAGTCCACTGGAACAATAATTGTTTATTTTCATGTTAGAAAAAACAAGCAAGCTTTACAGGACAGAAAAACTTTGCTTTGGTTGGTTGTTGGAACTGTGTCTTAACAGAAAAAGGGTCTTAATCTCAGTTTGTGGGATCCCTTCTCTAGACACTTTTAACTGTGTTAGACTCATGCTGTTGTTCCAGCTAAAAAACTTTAATGGATGTTGAAAGCTACATCAAAGTGGTATAAACTCCCTGGTTTTCCATAAGTTAAAAACAAATATACCTTTTCAGAGTCTGACCCATTATTCAAATAATACTTTGTGCTTTTTCCAGCTAAAAACAAATACACAGTTGTGCTGGATACATTTTGAAAACAAGCTTTCAAGGTACGCCAAAGTGAACTCCCTTAAACAGTACAATCAGGGGCTTATGGATATGGGCTTTATTTACATGATGTAGTGTTCAAGGTGAAACTTAGTAAAGGAAACGTGGGACATGAAAGTAGATTAAGCAGAAAATGCATTACTGAAAACTAGCTAAACAGTTCTGGAAATGGGGTAAGAAGCTCAGTTACAAAGGAAGAGCTAAAGACACTTAATAACATTTATAGCCTGTTCTCTTGAAATTAAATCTAGGACCTTGTGACTAAAAAGGTCATGGTTTGTGGGATAGAGAGGGAGTGTGTATGTGGTAGACATGCACGCACACACGTATGTACTACCCTCCTTGCATGTTTTCAACCCAACCCTTCTTGTCTGAGCTAATAGGTGACTGAGACTCCATTAAAGCTGCCCCACAGGTGGATTTTTAAATGACCTCATCATCAGTTGAGCACACGTTTTCATCCTCATTGGGCACTGGGTGCATTGTGAATAGATTAAAAGGCAGTTTACCCAGGCTCCACTGGGAGTCAAGCATCTCCTTTCTTTGTGGAATGAAATGATAATGGCTCCAACCTTGACATAATTAATGCTTTTCTTCCTCATCCTTTAATTTATGTGGCTCACATGCACCCTGCTAAGCCATTATACCCTGGCCAGTTAAAACTAATATTTTCCTCCTCCTTTGCAAGTTTACAGTTACCAAAAAATAAACAAATAAAAAGAAATAACACAGAAATCCCCCAAACAAGTTTAAAAAACCTTTTAATGTATAAAAATCTTAAAAGTATGGATAAATATGTTCTGAAAGATATGTCAATGAAATGAACAGCATGTGTTTCAGTTTTACTAGGTGATTTAGCTCTTCTGTTATCCTAGTAACTTTGATTACCAAAGCCATGTCAGGGTGTTGTAACCTTAAGTATTTGTTAAGGATTCTTAAAATAGGATTGCCCACTTATTAGGACAGGGAAACATGAGCTAAGAGGGGGCACTTTTTCCCCGCACTGAGCAGCAGCTTGTCCCACACTGCCACTGCTAAGCCTGGGCCCCACACCAGCTCCAGGCTCACCTGCTGGGGCTTAGCCTCAGTAGCAGTGACAGCAGCAGCTGGGAAAAAACTGCTGCTCGGAATGGGGGAAAGCACCCTTCCTCCCCTCACTGCCACTGGGCAGTTTTTGATGCAGCTGCCTGGAGCTCGTGCTGTGCTCGGTTGCAGAGCAGCTCCTTCATCGCCACTTGTGAGCTGCCCTGCAGCTGCTCCACACAGTGCCACAGTCACTGTTGCTGCGCCGGGCAGCCCAGATGTGACAGTGAAGGAACTGCACCACAGCCTAGTACAGTGCATGCTCCGGGCGTCAGCACCAAAAACTAACCGGCTGGGGGGGGCTGCTTTTTCCTGTGTTGAGCAGCTGTTTCTCTCCAGCTACTGCTGCCACTGCCACTGTTATTCTGGCTCAGCCTCAACGGGTGAGCCTGGAGCTGCTGCAGGGCCCAGGCTCATGAGCAGCAGCACAAGACAAATTGCTGCCCAATGTGGGAGAAAAGCAGCCCCTCCCACTGCTGGTGCTTCCTGGTACAGCCACTCAGAGCCTACACAGGGGTGCCTGTACCTGCTCTCTGTTGCCACTGCTGCCCCATGGGGCAGCCCAGAGGGCAGTGACACAGGAGAGCCTCACGTAGGCTCTGGGCAGCTGCACCAGGAAGCGCCAGCCACAGAGAGGGGGAGGGGTCACTTCTCTCCCCCAGCAGCAGTTTGTTCTATGCTGCTGCTGCAGAGCCCAGACGTTCAGCCCCCATACCCATCCACAGCTCCCCACAAACCCCACACCCACCCACATCCCCCAACTTCCCTTCATACCCCGCACAATATACAAGAGCAAGACTGCATTTGAGCTATTATGTATCACTTCTACATATACAGCACAAACGCACACAAATCAGAACAATTTTTTAAATTACATAAAAATATATTTTTATGGGTGTTTGATTTTTAGTATACGGTTAGGTTTTTTTTCCCTCCTAAGATGGCAAACCATCTTTCCCAAAGAAGTACTTCCAGGGGCAAGGAAAGGACTTCTGGTGGCAAAGGTCAGAGGTTAGGGGCGGGACTTCCAGTCCCAAGATGGCAACCAGGGGCGGAGCACCTGTCAAGGGGCAGAGCTACCCATGTAGCCCTCGACAGCTTGCCAAAACTTGGTAATGGCCCTCTGCCCAAAATAACTGTTCATCCCTGCCCTAAGGACAGTCCTCTAAGGGCAGGTCTGAGCACTACATTTTACATGGGACCATTAATTCTGAATGTGGGATTGCTCAAAGCATATGCTAACTTTAACATCCACTAACATTCCTTAAATTTAGTGTGTGTTAATTTATTAGGTGTATCTATACCCTCACTATAGTTTGGAAGTAATGATTTGCCAACAGGGAGAGACATACCACGTATATCTTGTCTGCTTCATTCCTCTGACATTAGACCTAGCACTGGAGGCTGACAGTTATTTCTATTTACCACTATTAGAGAGTGTATATCAAAATTGTGATGAATCAGGCTGTTGTGTACATGTAGCCAGCAGTGTGCATTCTGCCAGAGATTAATAAAAATCCCTGTGCAGGAATGGGACCAAGACAGGGTTCTTGAGAGAATGGAAGAGTAAAACATATATAAATGAATACATTAAAAAAGTGGAAGCAAAAATAAGTATACAAGTCTGACCCTTCAGAGGCACCAAATTAAGAACACTTTACACTCTGAAGAGTTAAGATTTCAGCTATTAAAAATATGTTTGTTGTATTCCACACCAACAGTGGACCAGATTCCATGCCTGGATAAACAGGTATCTCCAATAATTTCAATAGAGATCTGCTCTATTATATTAGCTGAGGAGCTGACACATCATGTATATTTAATCGAAATATCCTGCCATTTTGATTTTGCTACAAACAGATCAAAACCTATTGCTGAGCAATGGGCACATCTGGCACTTATTTTCAAACCCTTTTTAAGGAATGCAAATTATGGAGTTATTTAGAGATCCAAAGTGTCTCCCTAATTAGTACAGTGTAATAAACCATCACTCATTTCAATTGAACCCTGTAATAAAAGGCAAAGCACATTACACAGCTGCACCACCTAGCCTAAATCCCATTATCTGACTGAGTTAGGAGTTCATTTAGATTTCAAACAACAAGTTGCATTGAAAAACAGCTGTTTAGGTGATTGGACTATAGTTCTGAAGCATCCAGGCAGCTGTTGGGTGGTGGTGTTGTTCCCTGAGTCAGTTCAGATGATGAGTGAAAATCAGTTACCAGGAGAGAGAGAAGATTTGCATCTGCTGGGCTTGCACAACAGTACAGGCTGATCTTAACTTTCATTGCTTCAAACTTTACCAAAAGCAGTTTAGTCTACACAGTAAGTGCTTGCTATTCAGTCTCTGATTTATATGTTGCAAACTGCTTTGCACTGGAAGAAGAGACATTTGTTCTTGTCTACTCCAAGTTGAAAACCGCACATAAAATTTGAGAGAGTACACTTTTTTATCACTGTGTCCAGCAGTAATTTCATTCTTTTATCACATTTTTTTTCTTCCTGCTTATATTTATTTCCTAATTCTTGCTTTTCTGCTATTTGAGCAAAACTAATGGGCAAGAAAACAGACTCCCAAATCTTAACTAAAAGCAGAAGCTGTTTAAATTTTGGAGTCACTTGAATTTATTGTTACACTACAGTACAAATTATTGCATCCACACCAATTTCCTTTGCTATTATGTTTCCTTTATAAATCTTCAATATTAAAAAATGGCATGAAGCTTTGAAAATATGAAGGATTCATTCCCAGGATTATTTAAATTAGCTCTCTTGCTTTCTCTACCCCACTAACAGAAAGTCAATTTTTAATGTCAGATCTTTGTTTAGGAAAATCTATCCCAAATGTAAAGTTCAAGATTTCTTACAGTAAATACTGTTAGTGCAAAAACATGAATATTTTTTTTAATACAAAAAGACAATGATTAATAAAAGGACTCTAAAATTGGTGTCATAGCACAATCTGTTAGTCTATGCAGCAAAATGACATGCACTCTCCAGGAAAGAGGTTATTTTAAAAAATCAGATCATATAGCATTCAGACCATGGAGTTCCTTGTTAATGATCTTTGCTAATTGTACCTGAAAATTAGTGTATTATCTTTTGTCAATGAACTGGTCACTGTTCTACTCTGGACCCAAGAACTAGTATGACATTCTTCTCAGTG